GTCTTTTTAATTCTTGTACTTATTGTTCTCTCTCCTTAATAGTATTTTTTCTCATATTCTCTAACACTCAGTAGTCTCTTGTGTCTTAGTGGCTTTATTGCCTTGCATGGAGTGAAATGATTAAAAAAAAATATCGTCCTCAAAACCATTAACATGTAAGTTATCAGATCCTGAGGAGAAAAGCACAGATAAAAGAAAATAGCTTCCTTCATTGACTACTGAAATATTTTTGTCTAATTCATTATATTTTTATACAGTAAGTCAAATATATTGTGATGGGGGAGGTAGAAGGCAAGCTGAAATTCTAGGACACACCTTGTGCTATTATTCACAGATTTGTAGAAACATATCTACTGCAGATAACAAGGTCCTACTGTATGATGGTTCCAAGATAAAGGTGAGAGACTGGGGAGACAGGATCCAAAAATGCCTGTGGACATAATTATCAAAGCAGTTGAGTAATGTGACAGATATTTAATTGTCTTTCCCTTGTTAACAATGGACAAAGTGGTTAGCTGAGTTGGTGTAAAGAAGAAATTTGAACTTTTGGAAATACTGTAAATGATTTAAATCTCTAGGACTTGGCTTCATATTCTCAGACATTTTTTTTTACCTTCATTTGACATGTGTTTACAAGAACTTTATACAAAGGAATTAACCCTGATGGATGACCTGAGGTGTTGTAGTTTCATTCTTAACACCTGCGCACGCAGATGTCATCACTGTTTATTTTCATTCATTTTTTTTTTTTTTTTTTTTTAGAGTAGCAATGAAACGTAGAAAGTTCAACAAGTATGAACAGGTGGTAGGGAGGGCCAAGATAAACTGCAGTAAATATTTCAGCTTAGAATAGTGTGTTGTAGAACCAGATTGATATCTTCAGAAGGAAGAACGACACTGTATGGGTCTCTGATGATTTGTTTGTACCTGCTTTTTATTCAAATTGGTAGGATATAAGTTATGCTTGAAACAGTTATTGAGACTTGACTTCAGTGATGGTTGCATAGGGGAAACTGATCTCCTGGTTAGTGTCTACTTTTCAAATCTAATTCTTGATCTTTTATACAGGGTACAGCAGAAATACTTCTCATATTTTAAAGGTTGACAAAAAGACCAAAGTAACTGCTATTAAAAATTTATTTCACTGTTGTTTAAACAAAGAGCTACAGTTTATTCATTTCCTTTTAAAAATGACATCCTTCAAATGGTGCCCTCTATTCACAATACACTGTTGTAGATGATTTCTGAAGTCTTTCAAGTAGGTTTCTTTTCAGCACTGAACCTGTAACCCTGAGATTTTCAACCCATAGTGATATCAATTTCTGTCTGGAACAGCATCATTCTAGTGTAACATGAAATGGGTACAAAAAGCTCTCTGTTGCAATTATAGATTCACCAGTCTTAAAAAAAACGTTTTCAACAGTAAATGCACAGTTTGCACCAGTCCAAGTCATGACGGTGCCTGCAAAAAAATGGTATGACATTGATTAGATGAAGGCACGATTGCCTAAATTCACTAGCACCACACAGGTGACAGTTTTAAATGTGGGAGGTATTTCATCTGCACTCTGTATATATTTTAACAATACATACAGCCTAAGTAAGCACCTTGGTAATATTTTCCCCTAATGTTGTCTTTCATCAACCAGATTTGACCAAAGCAACTTCATGAAAGCTATATATGGAAGCTGCATTTCTTTGCTGTGATAAATGCAAAGAATTTTGTCCTTTTTATAAGGAGAAATTTCACAGAGATAAGCTAGTGCTTTGTCATTCACCATTGGAGGTAGGTCAGGAAAAATCACAAAGTGTCACATACAATCTCTATAGAAAATGTATTAAAAGCTAATGGTAAGGATCGCATAGAATTAATTGAAAGCTGACATCTTGCTTCTTGGGAGGTGGTCTCCATCTCTGTGATATTCTCATAAACTCCCAGGAAGAATGAAGAAGAGAAATCACACATTCTGTTCCACATTTACTATGTTGAGCAAGTGATAGTCTGCTATTTTTTTTTTTATGGGATTCACATTTTGACTAGGGCATAATGATTTATTTTCAAGGGAGATCAATCGCACAAATAGCAAGCTGCTTCAGCTAGTGCCAAGGAAAAATTGTCAGAATAATATAGTGGAAATAATATAATGGAAATGTGTGACACTCTTTGAGAGCATCTTACTGCAGTGTTTCTTTAAATACCAACTTAAATTTCAGATCCAATCTAACAAGGACTATTGTTGATATTACTAAGTAAAATGAATAGCATTGTTATAAAAAAGAACTGATTTTGAATGGTACTTTCTTAGTTTGTTTTTGACTTTAGTTGCTTATTGTACTTTGGCAACTCCACATATGCACAACAATGAACTTTTTTCTTTTTAGCTAAGACTAGATAGGAATCAACCAATAGAGTTCAACTTTTTTCTCTCACCATTACAGATTTAACCATTTGATTGCAAATGTACTTATACTTGTAGAGGTTTTTTTTTTTTTTTTAATCATATTAATTAATTTTTTTTTAAATAAATGTTTTTAATTTCTATCAAACAGATAATAGGTCTTCAGAATTGGATACAAACAGAAAAAATATTTTAGTTTCCAAAAGAAAAAGACATTTGTCAATACCTCTTTCCCTTATTTTTATTAATATATTTATCTGTACATGCCTTATAAAGAATTGATTTATTATTATATTTTGGTTTGTGAGAGGAAAATGTAAAATAATGAAATGTTGTTAGGTGGATGCCTTATTGTGAAGAAATAGTTAACAAGTGAACATTACTGCTGTGGTGAGTTCAAGCTTCACTGGGTGCTCTATACTTGCAACTTTGAGCAATATTATGCAAAACTTAGTAAATATGAATAAAGTTGTCAAAATTTATTCGAAATTGGTTCCAGGATATAAGTGAGCACTGGAATTAACCAAAAATAGTTACATAAACAGACAAAAAGATAAATCTTTGACAATGAATGTAAGCAACATTCAAAAGTAATCAGGAAAAAACCAAAAATGAAGTTTGGAAAGTTTACTAATTATATAAGACAAATTCATTCTAAAAATTTAAAAACTCAAAATAAAAATTGGATTTTATATACTGAATAACCAGTGCTACTGTCGGTTGACATTTATAAAATCTTTCTATTAAAACAGTTGTTCAGGAAAATTGGTTTCTTAAGTCCAGTAACTGTTAGTGCTCTTTCCAGTATTGATGAGTGGGGGACTTCCTTTGTAACCTTTTCATTTTGCTAAGTGAAGTGGACATCACAAGAATCATGTCAAAAGATCCTGACAAAGTGGGTCACTAAGTGAAACCAGACTCTGAGGACTTGATGAATGATTTTTTAGATGAAAGATAACAGGACAAAGAATGTTTGTCCTCTATAAGACAGTGGTCACTAGCAGCCGAAATCAGAGGGACGCTTCTCGCATCATGAAAAGGAAGGTACACACCAACACATTGATTAGACCATTTGTCCCCCCCTCATATCGGCCTCACTCATCTATAGCAGAAAGTTACAACAGAATAAAATTTGCCTACTGCTAAAATCTTGTCTCATGGTTTTATTTCATGGGTGACAATCTGACCAAAGAGATATTTTTAAGACACTGGAAGAAGTTGCAACCTGAGAATGAACCTGGTGTCTGGTTTGAACTGCAATGCTACAAGAATATGACTAGTTCTAAGGTTAATGTTTAGGTTTTTTAGCAATTTGCAGTATTGAACATAACTACTCTTAGCACAGCTTATTTTATGTTCAATTTCCTTATCTCCAATACTAAATTTGTTATAGCTGATCCATACACTGAAGCATTTGAAGTGCTTAGTACTTATTAATTCTACATCTAGAAATTTTATAATGGATTCAGAGTTGGTGACATCACTGCTTTCATTACAATTCCAGCCTGAAAAAAGCTTTAACATTCTTTGCTCTGTTGCAAGATATAATCATCTTGAAAAAATAATTTCATCATTGCCAAACCTATATTCAATGGATAGAATAAAAAGAGTCCAAAATGTTAATATACACCTGTGCATTGACTATTCAGATAGCTTCTCTCCTTGGTCATTCAACCCAATTATCATAAATGAGAGGATAAAATTGCTTGCCTTTTTCCAGCCAGTCATCTTCATATATTTCATTGAAATGGCTTCAGTCAACTTTCTATCATCATCTTAGTCAATGCAGAGTTGTGATTCATTATTTCATCCAATCATCTAGACTCCATGACTGCTTCTCTGTAGTCCACCATAACCTTGTTCTCTTCTGCTTTTGTATTAGTGCCAGTTTCATTTGGATTTTCTCTACATAAATCTCATTTCATTCAGTCCATTTATTACAAACATTTCACAAACATTCATTTCTGTTTCTGCCTGTTGGTTTTTTATTGTTTTGTTGCATATTTTCTATTTTTAAAGCATACTTCTTTGGGTTTTCAATCCTGACACTTTGATAACTTCTATTGTCTATTCACATGATATCCATATGTTCATAATCTCCCAATATTTCATACTTGTACCAAATTTTAGGCACTGGGAACAACCAACATCTTTTGCTACACAACTCTGTTGGATTTTTATGTATAATCCTTTTTATTGTTTCAATTAACAGCTCTCTTGTTGGAGCTGTGTTTCCTTTCAATTAGCTGAATCCAACAGCTTGTTATTGTTTGCAAGCACTCACTTACTGCAGATATTTAGGCTTGTATTTGTTTTAAAATATACAGATAATGTATATTTTTCCTCTACTCAGTCGGTAAAAAATAGCATTAAATACTTTAATCTAATTTGTTTTTGGTATATTTCATGAAGCCTAACTACTATGCTATTAAATAGAAATTGTTTTGTAATGTGTTCAATTGTTGCAAAGTAGAGGGAAAAGATTGGCTGAAAATTACATAATTTTTGCTTGGGTTTCTAATCATATCTTTTGTAATTCTGTGTCCTTTGATTGTTTACAATAACATGTTCTTTGACTTCGTGTTTTTTTTTTATTGTTAGATGTGAAAGAAAGCACTGATTCCACCCAAGCTAGTGGAGCTGGGGCCAAAGAGAAAGGCGACAGTACAGCAAAGACTACTAAGACTCAGTCAAAACTAAGTAAAACAGTCAAGCAAGTTCCTGTGGAAACAACTGTTGATCATTCAGTTCTAGAAACGCTAGAAGTTTTTGATTTAACAGACAATGAAGCTTGGGTAAGAATTTTTTGATCTCTTTCTGTTGTCAGTCTTCATATAAATCTAAAAGGCCAAGTAATCAATTTCGGTTATTCAAATGAGAAAATACAAAATGGTTTGACAATTAAAATTTAAGATAAAAAATATGTACCTTTTTTTACTTATTTGGAGGATCTTTAAATTAAAAAATATAATTCATTTTTATATTTTTTTGTGCTGTTTGGAGGGTGGAAAAATATTTCAGGAGTGCAAAAGTGTTATTTAAAAAACACTGATTTGAATCATTATCTATCTTACATATACTCATAAACTTAACTTTTTACCTCCACCTTCTTGCATCTATGAAACAATGTCATTCAGTAATCCTCTACTTTGAGTGCCTATTGGGCCTTGTATTGGGTAAATAATAGTTTAAAAAAAAGAATTGAATTACAACAACTCTGGTATGTTTCACATTTTAAAAAATTCCTGATTACTAATAATTTATTTTTTTATTAATTTATGAAAATGTATAATACATATCCCTGTTTATACATATATAAGTATTGCATTTATCGGAAGGTGTTTAATTGGCCTAATAATTCAGTGCTATGAAATTGAAAAAATGAAACCATATAAATAGCAAACTATCAGTAAAATTATAATTTTATCGAACACAATTATGTTGATAATTGTATTATTGATAATTCCAATAACTGATGTAATGATAGTAAAAAACATCTTTGTCAATTTCATATTTGAAATTTTTAACAACTGTTAACTACAACTTTTTCCCAGTCCAATTTCAAATTTCATTTCATACACTAACTGCCAAATGTGTACAGACAAACCTCTCATCTATGGAGCCCCCATCAACGGACTTCGAACACAATGGACAAAATCTGCAAGTAAAATAAAAAAAAATCTGTTGAAAAAAAAACAACTTCCAAATCGTCAGCAATATATTTCAAAATTTGTGGGCTTAGCAGAACAAGTCATATTAGTTCTCAAAGGGACCGTTTGGCAGTGGTGACGGCCCTTTCAATTGTAAACAAAGACAGGTGTACAGTATATAAAGTACAATACATTAGTGCATGCATGAGAAAGTAGCTGTGAGAAATCTATTTGGTTATTTTGATTAATATATCTATATTAAGTGTATATTTATTTATGCCATATATAAATGTTTATAGTATTTACATTATGATCATAACCACTATAGTTACTATAGTGGTTTTATAACTCAAAAATAATCCCTTCCTATCTATGGACAATTGGCTTTAATGAACCATACATCCCCCATATTAGTCCATTGATGAGAGGTTTGTCTGTATTATTAAAATAAATTATGATGCTATCCAAATGTTTTCAAAGTATTTAAGCATTGGCTTTCTATTTAATTGCCTCCTTTGAAGGATTCTTATATTTTTTTAAATTCTTTCACACTTTTCTTATCACTTCCAGGCTGGTCTTCCTTCAGAGCAAATACCAGAAAGATTTATACAATATCGGTGGTTGGTTAGTTTATAATACCAATTTTTTTATTTTGTTTTTAACATCTTCATCGCTTAAAATAGGCATTAAATTTGGTTTTATTATTTATACTCAATAATTCTTTCGTAGTTGCACATGTAAATATAAAAATTGCAATGGATAAATTATCATCTAAATTACGCAAAAATGAAAATAACATTTAGGTTTTATTTCAACAGATATGTTTACCAAAATTACACAAAAATATAACCATAATATTTTTTTTTAAATTTACCATCTTATTTCAAAATGAATTTCTAAAATCAGATTGAGAAAATTGACTTCATCTGATCTTGTTTCATTTTTGTTTTTGCTAATTTTTCATTTCTATCAGACAACGAAAAAGCTAAAAGAACTTGATGAACAATTGAAATTAATGACTCTTCGAACTCAGCGTAAAAAGTGGAATCTCTCAAATCACAATTCCAAGAACATAAAATCAAATGGGAGAAGTAAGTAAAATTGTGAATTTTGTGTGTGTATATATATATATATATATATATATATATATATATATATATATATATATATTGTTTATAGGAAGGTATATTAATACAGAGTGTTCTGTTGATGCATTTTTATTTTTAAAAATGTTTTTTAAAAAATAGTATCAGAAGAAAAACAGAAATAAAACTGCTAAACTTTAGTAAAAATTGCAGTCATAGTACAATAATGTTGAAAACATAAAATCTTATATTGTGCAATAAATTTCAAAATTGTATAAGGAGACATAAAACTACAAAGTTCAAATTATAAAGTCTTATATTGGGTGAAAAATTTAAAAACTGCATTGATAGATATAAAAGTATAGGGTTTAAAACTTTGTCTTATGTTGTGCAATAATTTGAAGAAAAATCATGTATTATAAGAAATTAAAACTTTGTAAAATGTCTGAAGGAATTGAACATGTCTGCTTTTCAAAATTCACAGTTACCTTCAGGATATCAAATCTGTGCTGAATTCACCTTGTAGGGATAGAAAAGATGATTATCTCCTTTTGGTTGAGATGAAGTCAAATGGGTCACATAATGGCCACTTAGCGACATCACTTCATAGAGTGACAAAAGTTGCCAGTCCATCAGTTAGTTTCCATGAGTCAAACTGAGCATTCGCTGTTTTTCCTTTGGGAATATATCCTCACCACATATAGAAATTATATTTGGCTTGCAGTCCTCATGTTGGAAAATACCCATGAGTTGCTGTTTTCTTGTTTGATAAATATGTCCTTGCTAATGATGTAGAAGTAAATCTGGCCTGCTTAAATCTCCATTGGAAAATATAAATATGGCTTCTCCAGAAACATAGAAGAATATATTGGCAGCTTGAATTCCCATTGGCAATTATTAGAAGTCAGACCCTATGTCTCTTCTCATTTTCACACTTCTTGTTGTGGGATACATGTGTTATAGTTTGTTTTTGTAGGACAGGTGTAAATGTTTGTATATAATTTTGTCTATGTCTTAATGTTATGAAACACACTCTCTCTCTCTCTGAGAACAAATATTTGTCATTCTTTTTTGTTCAGCCATTCTGTTCCATCCATGTATTAAGATGTTGTTGTATCAAGCATATAATAATGCCCATAATGGCAGAAATGCTAACAGAAAATATTCCTTTCTCACACAGCACAATGCTTATAACATAAGTATTTATTAGATAATAGACATTTAACATTTTCCTTGTGTTACAAATCTTAACCTGAATTATTTTTTTCTGATGTAGGAACGTGATTTACTCAAACAACAAGTTGTACAACTTAAAGGCCTCCAAGTTGCCGCTGAAAAAGAAGCTGATGCAGTGATGACCCAACTTGAGGATTTTATTAATGAGCAAGAAAAGATGGTAAGCGATGAAAACTGCTCAGAAGAAAGAGAAGGGTCAGTGGCCAGTCAGATGGAATTGGATGCAGAAGGCCGGGTGGGTAGTGATGGGAATGGACAGGCAGCGGATGAGGAGCCTCCACCTGTTGGAATTGATAACAAGTGTGGGGTTACTACTGTGCTTCATAATGAGATGGCTGGTGGCAGAGAAAAACAGCTTTAAATATGATGACAAATTGGTAATATACAAAAAACAAAATAAGAAAATCAAGCTCTTAACTTGTTTAATAAGATCTGCTTCAGTTTTTCTGTCTCTAAAATACTACAGATGTATTTATGAACAAAAAATGAAATTTAGACAAAATATCACTGAAGGTGTACAAAAAATATTGTCTCAGGAACTACAGTGGCTTATTTTTTCTTTTTTGAAGAGAAGGTAACATTTTATCAAGGAAATTGAAATGAGAATTAAAAAGTAAATCTTTAGTCTGTAATTTGAATCATGATAGAACTTATGATCGTTGTCTTATTTTTAGGAATAAGCATTTTTTTCTTTTGATATTCATTCACCAGTAGATAGAATCATCAAACATTCAATGAACAATATATATATATATATATATATATATATATATATATATATATATATATATATATATATATATATATACACACACACATGTGTGTGTATATTTTTAATGTATGTTATATTTATGGGTAAAAGTGTTCAACATCAGGGATACTATGTATGTAAATATAAAAGTAGACACTAAGGTCAACACAGAGTTGTGACAGTCTGTTTCATTTTTTAATGCAATGTTCAGGCCATGCATATAGTGTTTAGGCTCGACTATTTATGTTCAAGCATGAAACAAACTGTTGCCACTCAGTGTTAACGTCAGTGTCCACATATATTAACTATTATTTATTTTCCTTATTTTTTTTTTTTCAGCGCATATTTTGTTATTGTTTAATTAGGAAACAACCAAGTTGCTGTCCTGGTCTCCTATTTTTCAGTCCTTGTATCTTTCCAAATTACTTTCTCTTTTTTTTTTTTTTTAATTTTGCCTTTAACTGTAAAATTTTCTTATTTCCTATTAAAACTTCTTCTATATTTTACTTCATCTTTGTTGTCCTTTTTCTATCTTCTTCCACAAATCTTTTCCATTACTTACAATCTATTTTCTGTCAATATCAATCAACATAATTTTGTTTTCTCTCTAAATTTTTTTGTTTCTTAAAGATGTTAAAATGAGAAGAAAAGATTTTCATATCTATTTTTTGTCATAATAATTTCATAATATAAGTGACATGAGAAATGTTAAATTTATTCCAGCTTTATTATATCAGCTGATTACCTATAATATATCAACATGATCAAGAGGAATTAGTGTATAAACTTGTTTGTATGTTATACATAAAAATACAAATTCATTTATTTTAGACATTTTTAGCTCAATTTCAGGCTCCTCATTTTTTAAAAGTTAGCCTGTTTCTCGTGATATGTACAACATAACTAATTAACTGTGGCAGAAGTTTTTCTCACCATAGAATTAAAATGATGGAAATTTCTGTTATCAGCACTTCATAGATTGATGAAAAAAAATCCCTAATGCAGTTTTAGTTTTCTGGAAACCTTGAATAAAATTCTTTATTACATTTAATCCAAGAAAATAGTCCAGGTGTATAAAATTTAATGGAAATAATTGTGTCAATTAAGGTCATCATTTCTTGATAGGTAATTAGTTAAGTTTGTTATTACATAAGAATCTTTGTTTCTATTTTATTTAAGAATTTTTATTGTTTTTATGTAAGGCTACAAATAAGAGCATCAGTTAAAAGTCCACAGCCTAATGGTAAAAAAAAAGCATTTATTTTAAACAATAAACATTTTAATCATTTCACTCTAAGTGAGATGGGAATGCCACTAGCACACAGAGAATTACAGGGAGTGAATGTGAGAGAAAAGACTGAGTATAAGGAGGATTGAGGAAAGGACAAAAGACAAATAAGATTCAAGGAGATAGAAGATGGCAATTGATGTTGCATTTAAATTTTTGAAGATTGCAGTTATCAGGGAAGCAAGTAAATGGAAGGGAGTTCCACAGGCAGGAAGTGTGAGAAAAGAAACTGTTGGAGTGGAATTTTATTTTTCAACATGATCTTTTCCCTGTCAATGCATTTAATCCACTGGTAATTACATAGGTTGATAAAAGGTTCACATACAGTGAAAATTTCAAATCAGAATTCAGATATTAATTGTGTATCAGGCTATGGATTTATTGATGCAATCTTGATCATTAATTTTTCATATATTTGAGATTTACTTATGTAACATTTCAATCAAATTTTTATCAGTATTTAGTATTTTTATAGTTTTTGAAATGTTTTATCTTACTTTTGATGAGTGGTCTTATAAACTAGTAGAAAGTTATATGGTTTATTTTTATTCATAGATATTCAAAAATATACTTTGCTATTTCATAAAGCCTCTTTTTAAAATCAAACTGTCTTAGAATTATTAAAATATAACTAAATGTCCCCATTATTTTTTCTCTTACCTCATTAACAAGACCAGTTATTGATGTCAATCATTTTTTCTCTGTAACTCAGTTCAACACTCTATCAACCTGTCTGTCTTTATAGTTGTACATATACTTTATATATATATATATATATATATATATATATATATATATATATATATATCTCACCTCTCCTAAAATTCTCGGTTAAGGTTTAATCTCCCTCCTACTCTAGACTCTCTCTAAATTCTGTTTTTATTTCCGGAGTTGTTTTTTCTGTTTTCTGTTTGAATTTGTAGGTCTGATGAACTGGATCGTATTTACGATTCCAATGGAATAAATTATGACCATGGAATATTAGTGTTTAAGCCTTTTTATTATATCTTTACATAGGTTTGATTCCAGGTGAGAAACTAAGAATTTTCAAATGTGCAGGCCAGTAGACTAGATGTAAAAAACACTGTTTAGTAAATAAAAATGGGGCGTTTTTTTCAAATACAAAGTATCCACTATAATAAGGTTTGAAGTCATAAAAATGACAAATTAAAAATAAATCCATTCTTTAGAAATTGGTTTGTTTACATTTCGAATACGAAACTGAGCAGATATGGGCTTTTGAAAAAAGTAATTTGGGTGAAGAGGATGTGTTTCCTTAAAAAGGTAAAATAGAACATTGCTTGCTGCATCATTCTCTGTGGTCGAGTAGTAAAGCACACAGGAGCAAATAGGGGTTCCCCTACGAAGTGTGTGGGATGGGAGCACAAGTTTGATCCCTGCCAGGGAAGGAATTTTTCTTTACTAAGATTTTTTAATAAATAAAAATGTGGCATCTATTTCAAATAATGAGTATCAATTTGAAGATATATATATAATCAGGGGTGGAGGGTATCCTTAAATAAAAGTGAACATAAAAGCTAATTTTTGTTTAAAATAAAATTAATAAAAACCATTTGAAAAGGAGAAGCATTTCTTCAGATTTCAGTGTGTTGCTCTTTTTTATCTGAACACAATTTTTGCATGTTTTTATTTCATCAAAATTTTGTAGCATTTAATTTTTACCACTGAGCTCATACTGCACCCTCTTCCTTCTGAGCAATTTCCTTTTTATTTCTTTATTTTGTGGCTTTTTTTTTATTGTTATCTTGCTGTTGTTGCATTAAATAAATAATTTAAAAATATGCTTTCTTGAAATGCAGCAATTGTTTTTGCACCTGCTTTCTTTTCAGTTTATTTCTTGTATGCATTATTACCTTCACTACCCAACATCCAAAAATTGAGATGGTGGATATTAATGGTTTATAGGTAGAAACTTATAAATATTACTAAATATTTATGAACCTATAATTAATGCTTGATTTTGATTTTATTGTTTTTGGATTTACATCTGATATAACAGGTTTTTTTATTGGATTAATGTCTGGTTTTTACAGTTTTACAACAATTTGTTTCTCATCTCTATTTGTTACACTTTAATTTTGTTTTTAAAACATTAATATATGTTTTAAAAGACAAAATTAACGTGTAATAAGCAGAGATGTAAAACAAATTGTATCTGTAAACTAATTTATAAAGATCAGTAATATCATTTTTGACCTTACTATACCAATTTATAATGATCAACAATATCATTGTCAGCATTATTATAATGATCAGTAATATCATTTTCCGCATTGGTATACTAATTTATAATGACCAATATCATGTCTGCATTATTATTATAAGGATGAGTAATACTGAACTGTTACATAATATCAGTCCTTCTATATGTCAGTGAATGCTGAACAATCTCCTCACAGAGGAAAAGGAGAATGGAAGCAACCTAAATGTGGTTCTACAGAAGGATGTTGAGAATACCATGGCCTGAACATGTGAGCAACGACAAAGTTTTAGAAAAAATGGAAACAAAAAAAGAATACTCAACATCAGGAAGAGACAGTTGATTTTTCTAGGGTACATAATGAGGAAAGAGGGCTTGGAAAATTTGATAGTCAAAGGACAGATTGAAGGCAAGAGGCATAGAGGAAAACAACACATGACTTACCTAGCGAGCTTGAGTAAATGAATGGCAGAACAAGATTTGGGAGAAATAACAAAAAGACAATTTATCAAGAGATACAAAGGACAGGAAATTGTGGAGAACCATGATCACAAATGTTCTGAAGGGACATGGCACAAAGAAGAATATAATTTTCCGCATTGGTATACTAATTTATAAGAATCAGTAATATCATTTTTAGGATTGCGATACTAATAAATTTATAATGATCAATAATATAATTGTCAGCATTACTAATAAATTTTAAGGATCAATACTATAATTTTCTGCATTGCTATACTAATTTATAAGGATTCATAATATCATCAGCATTATACAAATTTTAAGGATCAGTAAGCTTCAGATGATTTTGGCATTGACAAAATTACAGACATGATAAATGAAATATACACCAGTTATGATATAGCTGAAGACCTAAGTAGATCCATTTTCATAATGCTG